GGCACAATCAGGAGCTGTGCTGTACACTCTCCTGGCTCTGCTTTCCAGGGAACAGAAGTAGATCTAACAATTTGAATTTCCTCATAATAATCTGAATCAATGGCTCCTGTATGTATTTGTACCCCTTTAAAACTTAAACTAGATCTGCCTAGAAGTAATCCTATTGTCCCCACTGGCAAGGGTCCACAGACTCCTTTTGGGACCTTTTGCAGGGGTTCCCCAGGCAGAAGGCTCACAGCTTTTGTGCAGCATAAATCTACTGCGACACTACCAACTGTGGCGGGGGACAGACAATGTACAGGGGTGAGAGAATGGCCTGAACTGGAAATGCCCCAGTTTAGAACGGGGTACGGGACGGGCCCCTCATGGCGTTTCCCAAAATTGGGTTCCCTTCTTTATCAAACTTAGAGTGACACTGATTTGCCCATTGTTTTCCTTTTTTACATTTTGGACATATTTCAGGCTTAGCAGTTTTCTTTTTTCCCCTATCTGGCAGCCTGACTCATTGATTTTTTTTTCTACGTTCTTTTTTAGTGTGTCCATGCTTCCCACAGTTAAAACAAGCTCCAGGAAATGGAGTATTTCCTTTATCCACTCTCAGTCCTGCCATTGCCTTTGCCAACAAAGTAGCTTTACACAGATTACCTCTGATACCATCACAGGCCTTGATATAATCAACTAAATGTGCTTTTCCGAATTTAAAAGGAGAAGGCTCAAATGTAGCTATAATATTTCCCTGTTGATCTGGGGGGTGTATTCTAACAGGGAACTGCCAAGCCTCTAAATCACCCTCTCATTGAGCTTGCTGAATTCTTGCCTGAATAGAACTAAGAGTGGTTGGTTGCTCGAGGTGCTGCTTGACCAGTCACTGGGGCAACTACTTTTTGTCCAGTGTCCTCCGGAAAAGAAAGATCTGGAGGCTCATTTTCTTCAAAATAATAATGAGGGGATGCAGAAGGGTAGGGATGAACCTCTCCCTCCTTTGCCGCTTTAGCTGGCAAACAAACCTGCTCTGTAACCTCTTCTGTTACTTTGCTACACTCTCCTTCCTCCTCCTCATCAGTGTGAAAAAGTACCAACGTGGAATGAACCATACCCCACACTTGTCTCATTGTTACCCTGACACTTCTGAGCTCCCCTTCTTACTCACCATGGGGATTACTTTAAGAGTACTCGGGTGTCCTCCAGCTACTTTCACTTTCTCCAACCGTTGCTCTGGCAACCCTTCGACCTGAATTCGAGCCCCCATGATGGATGCCACTTGCGGAGACCAGCTCGGTTGGGGAGACCCTAACCCAGCAGCGCTAGAGGAATTAAACACACACACACACAAATATAGAGGTGTAAAGTGGGAAATAAGGGGTCGTACAGCCTTCAGAGCTGAAAGCCCTGAACAGAGATTTACCCATGTATTTATTAACAGCAAGCTAGTCATTAGCATTGTTTCTATAGATACTAAATTAACTAAAAGTATCCCTTACGGAAACGAAGGGATGGGCCGAATTAAAGGAATAGGTTGGGCTAGTTAACTGCAGCAGGAGCATGTCCTTAAGGCACAGATCACTTATGCCATTGTTTGTGGTTTAAGAACACCTTTAAGCGGTTTTCTGCTCTGGATGGGCCAGGTGTTCCTTGCCCTCTATCTGGTAAACCCACAACCTTCCAACATGGGCGTCATGGCCATCTTGAACATGTCAGAGTGCTGCAGAGATTTTGTTTATGGCCAGTTTTGGGGCCAGTTTATGGCCAGATTTGGGGGGCCTGCTCCCAACAAGATGATCTTCAAAGAATAGGGAGAATATGTTTTGTTTTTTTAAGAGCAGGGAATTAATGATTTGGAAGAAGCGGGCAGGCATGGTGGCTCACGCCTGTAATCCTAGCACTTTGGGAGACTGAGGTGGGTGGATCACTTGATGTCAGGAGTTTGAGACCAGCTGGTCAACATGGTGAAACCCCGCCTCTACTAAAAATAAAAAATTTAGCTGAGTATGATGGTGCATGCCTATAGTCCCAGCTACTTGGGCGGCTGAGAAAAGAGAATCACTTGAACCCAGGAGGCGCAAGCTGCAGTGAGCCAAGATTGTGCCGCTGCACTCCAGCCTGGGCAACAGAATGAGACTCTGTCTAAAAAAAAAAAAAAAAAAAAAAAAAGATTTGGAAGAGGCAATGAAGAGTACACAATGGATACCACACACCCCTTCTTAGGATGCAGAACCTATGGGAGAATAAGCAACTACCCCTCTAGGACTCCAGAGAAAGAGTCAGGGAAGTGTCAAATGAGTAATCAGTGAAGAGACTGAGTAATATGGGAATTTAATAGCCTTTACCGAACAAGTCAGTGGAAGTTATATTTTAATTTAATTTTAATTTTTGGGGGAGGGATGAAGTCTCACTCTGTTGCCCAGGCTGGGGTACAGTGGCTCAATCTCAGCTCACTGGAACCTCTACCTCCTGGGTTCAAGCGATTCTCGTGCCTCAGCCTCCTAAGTAGCTGGGATTACAGGCACGTGCCACCGTGCTTAGCTAGTTTTTATATTTTTAGTAGTGAAGGGGTTTTGTGCTACTGCCAGGCTGGTCTTGGACTCGTGACCTGAAGCGATCCACCCACCTCGGCTTCCCAAAGTGCTGGGATTACAGGCGTGAGCCACCGCACCCTGCTGAGTTATATTTTATAGGGAACATTTAAACATTTGACATTACAAGCAGAATCATTTGTATATTCTTATTTTTTCTTTCCTTCCCAGTTACTTCACTTTTACTACTACACATTTTCGCCAAATCAAGGTGTGCAGAATTTATTTCACATTAATGTGTTAACTGGATTTTTTTTTTTTTTTTTTTTTTTTTTTTGGTCAAATAAGTAGGGAATTCTCTTTAAACCATCTCTGTATTTCACAGCCAGTCCAAGAGCAAATGAGAACAAATTCTAATATATCCAGGGCAAATTATCACCAACTAGGCATAAAGCTTAAAGGGAAAAGGGTAGGCTGAGGGAGCTAGCAGCAGGTCACAGTTAGCACACAGGGCCAGGCTTGGTCCCAGGATTCAGGCAGGAGCCCTTGTTCCCAGCCCCGCCTAGCAGTCCTCAGATGGCATGGTGGATCGACATGAATTCTCGAGTTCCAGTCTGAAGTGCCTCTTCTAGAGAGAAGAGAGATGACAGGAGGTAAAGGGAAACGAATTCTGGAAATACCAGTAGGGAAGCAGAGGGACTTCTTCCCCTGCCACCGTCAGAGGCCTTGCCTCTGATTATACTCGTGGAAGCTCATGTTAAAGCTTTGAATGTCACAGAGTTGGTAACAGAATGATCAAGGATCAGAGAGGGAGTTCGAGACCAAACCTGGGCAACATAACAAGACTCCATCTCTATAAAAAATGGAAAGAAAACTAGCCAGGTATGGTGGTGTGTGCTACTTGGCAGGCTGAGGTGGGAGAATTGCTTAAGCCCAGGAGGTCCAGGCAACATTGAGCTATGACTGCACCACTGCACTCCAGCCTAGGTGACACAGTGAGACATTGTCTCCTAAAAAAAAAAAAAAAAAAAAAAGGATAGGGAATTTGAGTATGACTGTGGCTGGAGCCTGGCTGAATAGTGTGGGTTGACAGTCTGAAAAGACAGTGGCTTTCCACAGCTAGGCAGATGCCGAAGTGGAAGGAACGTAAGTAGTTCCTGGCAGGGCGCTCTCAGGGATGACACTTGGCTGATCTGATGGTGCTTATGGGATTGAGTGTAAACTGGCTGCCAAAATGAGGGAGCTGGACTATGGTAGAGGAGGTAACCAGAGAATCCCTCTGTGGGGAGAAGTTACTAGAGCAAAACAGGAACAAGGGGCACACCTTGTGCTCCTGAGGAGAGCCCCAGAGATGGTGAGAGGGAAGCATGGCTGATTAGCACCCGCGGGCTCTGTAGCTTGGAAAGCTGTGAGGCACTGTTCCAGAGTCAAGGAGCCTCCCCTCTTCCTTCAACACTATTCCTGGTAACTGTTTATAATCAGTCCTGGAGAAGAACAAGGCCCTCCCATCTCCCACAACCCCAGACTCAGCCCCAAGGAGAGGGGTAGAGTGATGAGTGGTAGGAGGTAGGGAAGTGTGAGAGGTCTACTGGGTCTTCTTTTGAAATTTTTTTAATTTTAATTTTTTTGGTGTATATTGAGTCTTCCAGTCTTCCAAGACCAGGGAGGGTAGTATGCGGGTGGTGGAGGCTGGTACATGTGCATGTAGATGTTGTGTGAGTTGCCCTGGTTGTAATAGGCTCTGGCAGCTGCTTCTTGGCCTTGGCTGCAGGAATGGAGGGAATTTTGGTGCTTCTGATGGGAGGTTCCAGGAGTCCAGGATAGGGCAGTGCCATGGGGCTGCACCTGTTTTATGGCCCTATCCATGATGGGAGGTCCTAGATGGAACTCAGGTGGAGGTGGTAGATAGGAGTACAGAAGGGCAGGAGTGCATTCCATTGCAACTGGTGATGGGAGGCACAGGCCACGCCAGGCATGTAAGAGTATCTATAGGCTCCACTGGGGGCTTACCTCTGGAGGCTTAAAATGCCACCTGTAGCACCCATTGTCCAAACTCAATGGTGCCCCCTGCTGTAAAGGTATGAAGCAGAACCTTCCCAGTCACCTCCTGCTTCACTGTTGCCTTTATGTAGTTTGGACTAAACACAAGTTACTTGATCCTTATAGTCCTCCATTTGATAAAAAATGGCATCATGAAAGACTGCATGGCATCGTGGACCAAAAGATGACCTGGTAAGGGATAAGGTAAATTGTACCTCTATTGGTCCTTCTAAAGGCCTCTGGCATCTTCTTTGTGTCATTGAATGTAAGTTCCACATGGTCATAGAACATAAGGATGCTCTTGCTTTTGCTGACCATCACTTTGCCACCCTCTGAGCGATTCTTGTTGAATGCTTTAGTCTCTCCTGTATACTTATTTTGATGCCCTTTTACATAGATGCATTTCCATATCAGGTTGTTTGAACAACATCTTATCTTGCCTTTCAGGGATTATATGGAATAAAAGAAGAAATCTTTCTCAGTATCCCTTGTGTCTTGGGGCGGAATGGTGTCTCAGATGTTGTGAAAATTAACTTGAATTCTGAGGAGGAGGCCCTTTTCAAGAAGAGTGCAGAAACACTTTGGAATATTCAAAAGGATCTAGTATTTTAAATGAAAGGCTTCTAATGTTCCACTGTTTGGAGAACAGAAGATAGCAGGCTGTATATTTTAAATTTTGAAAGTATTTTCATTTGATCTTTAAAAAATAAAAACAAATTGGAGACCTATGACATAACTCCAGTCTCTCAAGATTCGAACGAGAAAATGGTAGAGAGATTTTCCTCTTTAAGAATCCTTTATAGCTCTATTCTAATGATACCCAATCTGTACAGATGTAAGTTATACTTCTGAGGTATGTCATATATTTTAGAGAGCCTTCAGATGTAGTAGAATATGTATAATCACTATAATACAGAGCTTTGATTCTTTTCACAAACCAAACCCTTTTTCTAGTATTACAATTTTATCTTGTACTTTCATCCATTAGAGTACCAGCATATTCATTTCATTACATTAGCGTAATATGTTTACGTATAATCATTATAAATGTGGCCGGGCACTGCAGCCTGGGCAACAGAGTGAGGCTGTGTCTCAAAAAAAAAAAAAAAAATCATTATGAATGCTTATTTTTAAGACCATATATATCAAAAAGAAATATAAAGCTGAGTGCAGTGGCTCATGGCTGTAATCCCAGTGCTTTGGGAAGGTGAGGCAGGAGGATCACATGAAGCTAGGAGTTTGAGACCAGCCTTGGCAACATAGCAACACCCCATCTCTTCACAAATAAACAAATTAGGTGTGATGGCATGCATCTGTAGTCCAGCTACTTGGGAGACTGAGACCAGTAGATAACTTGAGCCCAGGAGTTCAAGGCTGCAGTGAGCTATGATTGTGCCACTGTACTCCAGCCTGGGCAACAGAGGAAGACTCAGACTCAAAAGAAGAGAAGACAGAAGAAAAGCAGAAAACAAGAAGAAGATACAGATACAACTTTATGATGTAAAAAAGTTGAATAAGGTTATATTCAACTCTGCAAGTATTATACCAGTCATATAAACTCAAATAGTTGATTTGGTGTCTCAATTGAAATATCACCCAGGGAGCTTATACCATCCTCAGTTATTTGTGCAGTGAACTACTACTATGCTTGCTGTGGTATTGTTATGAAATCTGTATGACATGATCTCTGCCCTCAAGTATTCACAGTATTTAGGGTACCTCAACAAATTGTTTTTGACTATTTTTTTTTTTCCTTTTTGAGATGGAGTCTCACTCTATCACCTAGGCTGTAGTGCAGTGGCACGATCTCGGCTCACTACAACCTCCACCTCCTGGGTTCAAGTGATTCTTCTGCCTCAGCCTCCCAAGTAGCTGGGATTACAGGCACCTACCACCATGCCTGGCTAATTTTTGTATTTTTAGTAGAGATGGAGTTTCACCATGTTTGCCAGGCTGGTCTTGAACTCCTGACCTCAAGTGAGCTGCCCACCTCACACCTCCTAAAGTGCTGGGATTACAGGTGTGAGCAACTGCGCCCAGTTGATTGTTGACTAATGTTTGATAACAGTCATTAATAGCTCCCTGTTGGTATCTAAAGGTGAAAGTGCTTCTACTGATTTATATAGTATATACACACATATGAAGTCTTTCTTGATTCCACAAGAAATTTAAAGCAGCTATAGGAACTATACAATAAAACAAAAACTAAGAAATCAGTATCAAATTAATTTACATTTTTTTCTTTTTTTAGACAAGGTCTTGTTCTGTCACCCAGGCTGGAGTACAGTGGTGTAGTTGTGGCTCACTGCAGCCTCGAACTCCCGGGCTCATCAGATCATCCCACCTTAGCCTTCTGAGTAGCTGAGACTACAGGCACATGCCACCATGCCCTGCAGATTTTTGTATTTTTTGGAGACAGGGTTTCACCATGTTGCCCAGGCTGGTCTTCAACTCCTGGGCTCAAGCAGTCCTCCTGCCTCAGCCCCCAAACTGCTGGGATTATAGGCATGAGCCACCACTCCTGGCCAATTTACAAATTAAGACTAGAACTGGACCAATGGGAAAGATTAGAAGGTAGATATGCAGCCCCTGAGGACTTGCATGACTAGTGGAGGCTGACTCATTTGGTCAGAGAGTCATGGTTTACCCTCATAATCTGTTATTCTTGCTCTGTTGATAACTTGCTTTCTGGTCATCTACTCCTGAACATGATTAATGTCCCATTATTTTATTATTTTCCCTTTTTCTTTAGCATCTTCCCTTGAATGTATACAATTATTATCAGTTGAGTTAGGATGAGGGCAAGGGGAGTCTTCTGTGGGTTTTGGCTTTTTTAAAAGCTCATTTGTACATCAAAACTTCATTTTAGGAAATTCTTGCAGAGATTAAAAGGCTGAAAAATTGATACAGTTTCTACAGGGAACATTCTAGTAAGTAAAACTGCTCTACATGTCCCCAAGTAGCTGAAAATTGGTTCTGGGTAGAGGGGAGGGAGGAAAAGGTAAAAAAAAAAAAAAAAAAAAAAAACCTTAGCTGTTACAAGAGTTTGACTCTCCAAAGCTCAACCTTGCCTGACAAAATTTTAACTCATATATATATATATGTATATATATGTATATATATTTTTTAAGAGACGGAGTCTCGCTCTGTCGCCCAGGCTGCAGTGCGGCGGCTCAAGCTTCGCTCACCGCAACCTCCGCCTCCCAGGTTCAAGCAATTCTCCTGCCTCAGCCTCCGGAGTAGCTGGGACTACAGGTGCTGGCTGCCACACCCAGCTAATTTCTTTTACATTTTAGTAGAGATGGGGTTTCACCATTTTGCCTAGGCGGGTCTCAAACTCCTAAGCTCAGACAATTCCCCCCCTTGGCCTCCCAAAGTGCTAGGGTTACAACCCTGAGCCACCGCGCCCAGGCAACTCCTTAATATTTAATTTCATGATGGGGAGTGCAAAACAATTGGGGGAACATATCTACAAAGACTCCTGAGGGAGTGATAATGAAAACTGAGCAACACTGCTCTATATTTTATAAAAATTTGTCAATATGTATTACTGTATTAGGGTTCTCTAGAGGGACAGAACTAATAGGATAGCTATATATATAAAGGGGGTGTTTATTGAGGAGTATTGACTGACACGATCACAAGGTGAAGTCCCACAATAGGCCATCTGCAAGCTGAGGAGCAAGGAGGCCAGTCGGAGTTCCAGAGCTGAAGAACTAGGAGTCCAATGTTTGAGGGCAGGAAGCATCCAGCACAGGAGAAAGATGAAGGCTGGAAGACTTAGCCAGTCTAGTCCTTAAAGGTTCCTCCGCCTGCTTTTATCCTAACGTGCTGGCAGCTGACTAGATGGTGCTCACCTGTGAAGAGGGTAGGTTTGCCTCTTCCAGCCCACTGACTCAAATGTTAATTTCCTGTGGCAACACCCTCACAGACACACCCAGGATCAACACTTTGCATCCTTCAATCCAATCAAGTTGACACTCAATATTAACCATCAAAATTACGTATTATGATTCACAAATGAGTTAGAAAACAATTAGGTAAAATGTGGTGGGAGAAGTAGAAACTTTGGTTTACTCCAGACTGGTTTTGGATTCTGCATTTTTATTTTTATTTATTTTTGAGACGGAGTCTCACTCCGTCACCCAGGCTGGAGTGCAGTGGCATGATCTCAGCTCACTGAAACCTCCGCCTCCCGGGTTCAAGCGATTCTCCTGCCTCAGCCTCCTGAATAGCTGGGATTACAGGTGCGTGCCACCACACACAGCTAATTTTTGTATTTTTAGTAGAGACGGGGTTTCGCCATGTTGGCCAGGCTGGTGTCGAACTCCTGACCTCAGGTAGTCCACCCACCTCAGCCTCCCAAAGTGTGGATTCTACATTTAACCACTTAATAATGAATTGAGCTTTCTCTTCAGCTTGTAAAAATGGTTATCAGTTGGCACTGCACTTATCACATTCTTCAAGTTTCATAACATTTCAAAATTCCTTTTGCATACAGAGTTTTGTTGTTGTTTTGAGACAAGGTCTCACTCTGTCACCCAGGCTGGGGTACAGTGGCACAATCTCCGCTTACTGCAACCTCCGCCTCCCAGATTCACAAATGATTCTTGTGCTTCAGCCTCCCAAGTAGCTAGGATTACAGGTGTGCACCAGCACATCCAGCTAATTTTTGTGTTTTTAGTAGAGACGTGATTTCACCATGTTGGCCAGGCTGATTTCGAACTCCTGACCTCAGGTGATCCCCCCACCCCTCCTCGCAGAGTGTTGGGATTACAGGCGTGAGCCACCGCGCTCGGCCCAGAGTTTTAAAATTTTACTTTTTCTACTTTAGCTCACATTTGCGGTGGTAAAAATTAATCTTGAGGTCCCTTTCTCCTACAGTGCTGGGGAAAAATTTCCAAATGAGAGTCAAAAAGTCCTTTTCAGATACATCCAGACAAGGTTTGGTTAGAAATAAAATTACTTGGGTTCTCTGGTGGATGGGTTCTAGGCAAACAACTCCACCTGACAGGAGAGGCCGTGCACTGCATTGTGCCTGCCTCACCTCGGGCGCCTTCTGCAGCTGGCCAACCACCGACACAGCAGCGCGCCCACCAGCACGCGGGGGCGGGGCGGGCAGGCAGAGGCGCAGGTGCGGTGCTTCACAGCCCGCTTCCGGCCTCACACCTGCCAAGCATCACACCTGCCAAGCATCACACCTGCGATGCCTGCACGAGCTGGGTGCGGTCCGCGCAGCTGCAGTAAGGAGGTGACCCGGCGTCTATTAGTTGGTGGTTCGTCTCCTTCGTGCCTCGAGGAGCTGTAACGCCGCTTTCCTCCATTCTCTTTCTTCACTCTTGAGTGAGTGGCCATGAGCTGGGCTGCAAGAGTCCTGGGGAGCAGCCAGAGAGCGGGCGCCGCGGGAGCGAATTGTTTTTGCCCAAGGATGGTTCCGTGTCTCCGCCAGGCGGCATGTGACCTGCTCAGGCGCGGATGGCCCTTCACCCCTGTGAGTGTCGCCAGAAGTACCTCGCACTTGGACCTGCGGACCCCGGGCGCAGTCCGGGAGCTGCGAACTGGAGGTTGGGGGAAAAGTAGGGTAGAGGGGAGAGAAAAGGGGGTCAGCTGCGGGACGGAGAGCAGTCCCAGCTGTGGTTTCATGTTTGGTGGAGCAGCCCCTGTTCCTTTCCTCTCTCTCTCTTAATTCCTCTTAACTATACTCACGCTTTCTTCTCCTTCCCCTGGTCCGCTTCATGGATGCTGAGCTACCTGGCCAGAACCTACCCAGCTTCTTTGCTGTCAGATTTGTGGGTCTTGCACCTCCTTCCACACGGGGGCCCAGAAGTTCTCCATACGCGCTCTCACCACAGGTCTTGGAATTCCAAGCCATTTCCAATTTCAGGTCTTGGAAATGGCTGTGCAATTTGTCTTCACTGTTAGGTTTCCAAGATGGCAACTGTCAAGAGTGAACTTATTAAGAATTTCACGAAAGAGGAGGCCATTCATCACAATAAGATCTCCATTGTAGGAAGTGGATCGGTTGGTGTGGCCTGTGCTATCAGCATCTTATTAAAAGTAAGTTATGTGCTCCGCACCACAGGGTTCACCTCGGTTGGAGGCAAGGCCACAGTGTATGGTTGTGCAGGTTGTGTCCAGTTCAAGGGATGAGTGGGGATCCAGTACAAGGGGCACCAGGGGAAAAGGTGCCCTTTTTTTAGTTGTTCCACCCAGAGGGCGCTCCTTTTTTAAAATAGTATTATATCATATGTTAGAAGCATCTCTGTGAAAGTATGTTGTCATTTCGCTTTGACATAATGACAATATGAGGTACCCCTTTGCTTGATTTGGAAACTCAGCTCACAAAACAAACTGGAGAAAGAGGTGGCAGAAAAGAGTATACAAGCATGTCAGTGATGGTAGGCAGCCTGTGAGCACAAAATACAATCTTTTTTCCTCGAAATATCTCTCTCCCATTTCCTAGTCTCTAGATCTTTATTTCCCTTCATTCCTTGTTCATGTTAGCTTAGTTTTAGTGTTTAGCTGTTCTTAGTACTGATACAGCTGATAAAGTTTAATGGCTATAGACAGAGGCCAAAAAGGATTCTGACCCCTAAGAATATTACCCTGATACGAACTTCATTACCATAAAGTTTTAATAAATCATAAGACATTTTGAGCTATACTTTTATTAATGAAGTATCTGTAAAATGTTTTAAGCCATCTTTTATATAATCTTTAAACCTGGCATGATTCATTGGATTTAAAGGATTGCCTCTGGGTTTCATATCTAGATGACATAGTGACCTTGTGGCACTAAGGATAGCGGCCACAGCCAACTGTTGCTCCTGCCAGCCATACAAATTCCCAGTGATTCATTTTGTCCTACCTATTGTAATGCCTTTATCAGCAGTGTCCTCACTGCTAATGAAGAATGCACACAGGTGAAAATCAACACATCTGTGACTCATTGATTGATGGGGCCTCCACGTATTGCCCAGGCTGCTGTCAAACTCCGGGCCTCAAGCAGGAGGCCTCAGCTTCCTGAAGTGCTGAGATAACAGATGTGAGTCACCTTGCTTTGCCCAACACATTTTTTTTAAACATCAGTAATAATGATAACAATATGTTTATAAGCATTATCCAATATTACAACCCTGAAAAGTAAATATTAGACCTACTTTTTAGAGGAGAAAAAAGGCACAGACTATCTCTAATTGCATGAATAAGTATACAGGTAATATATACAGAAAAGCTTGAAATAAAATATTTATCACCTCTGCTTTGAAGGGCCATTTGGGGAGGGACTGAGCCATATCCCTGGAACTCCTACCTCTGCCAGCTGCTGCTTGGCTTTGGTTGCAGGAGTGGAGGGAATTTCGGGGCTTCTGATGGGAGGTTCCAGGGGCCCAGGAAAGGGCAGTACCATGGGGCTGCACCTGTTTCATGGCCCTATCTGTGATGGGAGGTCCTAGATCTTGGGTGGAGGTGGTGGATAGGAGTGCATTCCATTGCAACTGGTGATGGGAGGTACAGGCCCCACTAGGCATGTAAGAGTATCCATAGGCTCCACTGGGGGCTTACCTCTGGAGGCTTAAAATGCCACCTGTAGCACCCATTGTCCAAACTCAATGATGCTCCCTGCTGTAAAGGTATGAAACAGAACTTTCCCAGTCACCTCCTGCTTCTAGAACTTGAATTCTAGTATGTTGCTAACTATGGCATTTGAATATCTTAGGAAATAGGGTACATAATCCCCCTATAAAGCCTCAGGTTAAGGCTCACTTTAATCTTTCCCTGTCCTTGCCCTAGACACTGCAACTTCTGTCATTCAAGGAGATGGTGATAGCCTAAAAACTCCTTGCTGATAGGGAATTCTCAAAAGGAATTGTTCAGGATTTTATTGTCAGGAATTTATGGCACGAACCTAGTAGAGAAAGAGTAATGTCTTTAAAAACTACTGAGTTATACCATAATACATAAACTTTAATTAGTGTAATGTGAGATCCACTTGTATTCTCTTTCAGCGATGTATCCCGAATCTAGATCAGTGCCTCCTGTAATTGATATTTAGTAGTTGGATGAAAGAATTGCTCAAAGATGCCCATTAAAATGGAAAATGCACTGGATTGTGAATATAAAGATGGGATACTCTGTTTACTTTCATTTTTATAAGGAAAGAGAGTCCAGAGAGATTGTTAGGATATATTTTTATAGACTTTATTTTTTTGAGTAGTTTTAGATTCACAGAAAAATTGAAAGGATAATAGTTTGTACTCCACATGTAGTTATTAACATTATACCTTAGTATGGTGTGATGGTTAATATTGAGTGTAAACTTGATTGGATTGAAGGATACAGGGTATTGTTCCTGGGTGTGTCTGTGAGGGTATTGCCAAAGGAGATTAACATTTGAGTCTGAGGACCGAGAGACACAAACCCACCCTCAATCTGGGTGAGCACCATCTAATCAGCTGCCAGCACGTCTAGGATAAAAGCAGGCAGAGGAACGTAGAAGGACTAGATTGGCTAAGTCTTCCCGCCTTCATCTCTCTTTCATGCTGGATGCTTGCTGCCCTCAAACATCAGACTCCAAGTTCTTCAGCTTTTGAACTCTGAGACCGACACCAGTGGTTTGCCGGGGGCTCTCAGGCCTTTGGCTGCAGACTGAAGGCTGCACTGTTGGCTTCCCTACTTTTGAGGTTTTGGGACTTGGGCTGGCTTCCTTGCTGCTCAGCTTGCAAATGGCCTGTTGTGGGACTTCACATTGTGATCATGTGGGTCAATACTCCTTAGTAAACTCCCTTTCATATATACATCTATCCTATCAGTCCTGGCCCTCTAGAGAAGTCTAATACATATTGTATACCTTCGTGTGGTACATTCGTCATGATGAAAGAATGGATATTGACATATCACCTTTAACTAAAAAGTCCACACTTCACTCAGATTTCTTTAGTTTTTACCTATGTCCTTTTTCTGTTCCGTGATCCCATCCGGGATGATACCACATGACATTTAGTCACTGTATCTCCTTGGGCTCCTCTAGACTATGACAGTTTCTTTAGATTTTTCGTCTTTGATGACTGAGCGTTTTGAGGAGTACTAGTCGGGTATTTTGTAGAACACCTTTTTGTTGGAATTTGGTGGTTTTTTTTTTAATGGTGAGACCAAGGTTTTGGGATTTGGGGAGGAAGACATATAAAGTGCCATTTTTCATCACATCTTATCCAGGGTACATACTATCATGATTCAATGTTGATGTTGACCTCGGTTACCTGACTGAGACTGTGTTTACCAGGTTTCTCTACTGTAAAGTTACTATTTTCCCCCTTTCCATACTGGTCTCTTTGGAAGAAAGTCCCTATATGCAGCCTACACTTACGGGGTGGAGAATTATTTTAATTCTTCTGTGTGGGAGATTTATCCTTCCTCCCCTATTAATTCAATCATTTGTTAATATCACTATGCACTCATGGATCTTACTTTATACTTTGGATTATAATCTAATACTTCTGTATGAGTTTGTTCCAGCTGTGGCCATTGGTAATTCTTTGAAGTTGCCTGCTGTGTGCCTTTGACATACTACATCAGTATAGAGTTTTGTTTGGTTTTGAACGCTTCCTTACTCTTTGTCATTTCAAGATGTTTCAGGTTCTTCATCTTGTATATTTTCTGCACCACTCCTAGAATCAGGCTTTTTTCTCCAAGGAAACTTGGTTCCTTTTATTGGATAATAGTATTAGAAACCAGGATCTGGGCTATTTATGTTCCTTGCTCCTGGTGTTGTGATACATTTTCAAAGCTGCCTTTCAAAGATAACTTTATCAATGCCATGTAATACTGTTCCATACGACTCCAATCTCTGAATAACTGAGTGTCCAAGAAGCTCTGGCATTTCATTAAGCAACAACCTGTTCCTTGCAATACAGCTTAGACTTCTAGGTTAATCAGTTGTAGTCAAGTTTAAAATTTAAAGTGCTTGGCTTTGAATTTCCAGTAATTCAAATAGAGTAAAAAGATCCAGGCTGGATCCAGGCAGTGGCTCATGCCTGTAATCCTGCACTTTGGGAGGCCGAGGCAAGAGTATCACTTGAGCCTAGGAGTTTGAGACCAGCCTAGGCAACTAAGCAAGACCCTGTCTCTAAAATATAAATAAATGAATAAAACTTAAAAATTAGCTAGGTGGCTGCACACGGTGGCTCACGCCTGTAATCCCAGCACTTCGGGAGGCCAAGGCAGGTGGATCACCTGAGGTCAGGAGTTTGAGACTAGCCTGGCCAACATGGCAAAACCCCATCTCTACAAAAAATATAAAAAATTAGCTGGGCATGGTGGTGGTACATGCCTGTAATCCCAGCTACTTGGGAGGCTAAGGCAGGAGAATCCCTTGAACCCAGGAGGCAGAGGTTGCCGTGAGCCAAGATTGCGCCATTGCACTCCACCCTGGGCAACAAGAGCAGAAACTCCATCTCAAAAAAGCCAGGTGCAGTGGTACCTGCTAGTAGTACTAGCTACTTGGGAGGCTGAGGCAGGAGGCTTGCTTGAGCCCAAGAGGTTAATGCTGCAGTGAGCCATGAATGTGCTACTGTACTCCAGCTTGGGTGACAAAGTGAGACCCTGTCTCAAAAAAAGAAAAAAGGTAAAAAGCTCTAACAATGTGAATTGGATATGTGCTTAAATTATGGATGCTTGGTTCTTTTCTTTTCTTTTTTTCTGAGAGTGAGTCTCACTCTGTCGCACAGGCTGGAGTGCAATGGCCAATCTGATCTCGGCTCATGGCAATCTCTGCCTCCCGGGTTCAAGTGATTCTCCTGCCTCAGCCTCCCAAGTAGCTGGGATTACAGGCATGTGCCCCCATGCCCGGCTAATTTTTGTATTTTTAGAAGGGGCAGGGTTTCACCATGTTGACCAGGCTGGTCTGGAACTCCTGACCTCAGGTGATCTGCCCACCTTCGCCTCCCGAAGTGCTGGGATTACATGTGTGAGGCACCGCGCCCAGCCTTGGTCATTTACTTCTTTTTTTTGAGACGGAATCTCGCTCTGTCGCCCAGGCTGGAGTGCTGTAGTGCAATCATGGCTCACTTCAACCTCTGCCTCCTGGGTTCAAGTGATTCTTCTGCCTCAGCTTCCTGAGTAGCTGGGACTACAGGCACGCGCCACCATGCCTGGCTAATTTTTGTATTTTTAGTAAAGACAGGGTTTCACCATATTGGCCAGGTTGGTCTCGAATTCCTGACCTCGTGATCCGCCCACTTCGGCCTCCCAAAGTGCTGGGATTATAGGCGTGAGCCACCATGCCCCGCCTTGATCATTTACTTCTCAGCACTAACACAAAGGTGCTATTTTTCCTCCAAGGAAAAATCTATTATGTAATAAAGATAAAAGAATATGTAGTTAAAAGGTAATACATTTACAAGGTTTGAAAGTAAGGCTGGGTACGGTGGCTCATGCCTGTAATCCCAGCACTTTGGGAGGCCATGGCAGGTGAATCATGAGGTCAGGAGTTTGAGACCAGCCTGGCCAACATGGTGAAATCCTGTCTCTACTGAAAACACACAAAAAATTAGCCGGGCGTGGTGGCGGGCGCCTATAATCCCAGCTACTTGAGAGACTGAGGCAGTAGAATTGCTTGAACCTAGGAAGATGGAGGTTGCAGTGAGCCGTGATAGCACCACTGCACTCCAGCCTGGGCAACAAGAGGGAGACTCCATCTTAAAAAAAAAAAAAAAAAAAAAAAAAAAGGTAGGCTGGGCATGGGCTCACGCCTGTAATCCCAGCACTTTCGTAGGCTGAGGCAGGCGGATCACTTGAGTCCTGGACTTTGAGACCAGCCTGGGCAACATGGTGAAACCCCATCTCTACGAAAAATACAAAAATGAGTCAGATGTGGTGGCAAGCACCTGTTGTTCCAGCTACCCAGGAGGCTGAGGTGGGAAGATCATCTGAGCCTGGGAAGGTTGAGGCTGCAGTGAGTCAAGATCATGCTACTGTACTCCTGCCTGGGGGCCAGAGCAAGCCCCTGTCTCAGAAACAAAAAGTAAAAGTAGAATTCAGACAGATACATACAAGGCTGGGTGCGGATTAAGGCTCACACCTATAATCCCAGCACTTTGAGAGACCAGGGCAGGTGGATCACTTGAAGTCAGGAGTTTGAGACCAGCCTGGCCAACATGGTGAAACCCTGTCTCTACTAAAAATACAAAAAAATTAGCTGGGCCTGGTGGCACATGCCTATAATCCCAGCTACTCAGGAGGCTGAGGCAGGAGAATCACTAGAACCCAGGAGGTGGAGGCTGCAGTAAGCTGAGACTGCACCACTGCATTCCAGCCTGGGTAACAGAGCAAGAGACTCGATCTCAAAAAAAGAAAAAAGAAAAGATACATACATGGAGAAGTCACACTAGTTTCCATCCAACCTTTCCTTAACATCCACTTTAGGCAACTATTTGAATCAGTTTCTTGTATTTCTAGTGTTTTGTTTTGTTTTTTTAAATAGAACTATATTTTCTCTCCTTTCTTACATATAAAGTAGCATCATATAAATTATAGTACGAATTGGTTTCTGCAGGTAATAACTGTCTGACTATAGAACTAAAATATTTTTGAGTTGGAAGGAGCCTTATATTTTAATCCATTTGCTATGGTTTAAATGTTTGTCCCCTGTGGAATTCATGTTTAAATTTAATCCTCCATGTGGCAGTATGGAGAGGTGGGGCCTTTAAGAGTCGACTGGGTCATGAGGGTTCTGCCATGGATTAATCTATGGATGAATGGGTTATCAGGGGAGTGGGAATGGTAGCTTTACAAGAAGAGGAAGAGAGACCTGAATTTAGCAATCTCAGCCTCCTTGCCATGTGATGCCTTGCACTGCCTTGGGACTCTGCAGAGTCTCCTCCAGCAAGAAAGCCCTCACCAGATGCCGGCCCCTTGGCCTTGGACTTCTCAGCCTCCATAACTGTAAGAAATAAATTCCTTTTCTTTATAAAGTACTCAGTTTCATACATTCTGTTATAAGGAGCAGGAAATGGACTAAGATACCATTTATTCAAAAAACTTTGAGCTCCTCTGTGCCAGGTGGATGATAAGTAAGCACCAGATGGCTGGAGATGAATGACTTCCTTTTCTCAAGAAGCCCATGGTCTGGTGAGAAATTCCTTCAGCAGAAGCCCTACTTTATCACTCTGCAGCCTCGGCTGAAATGGGAAATGGGGCTGCTGACTACTTTCAGAGATTGTTCTATTTACTACACAGTTTCTGTTTTTGTTTTCCTAATGATGAGCTGAAATGTTCCTCTTTGTAACTTGTATTTTTTCTGGTTTACACTTTTATATCATGATGAAATGATGAGATCATTTATTATGTTTCCTTTGATTTTGATAATTCACAAGCTAGACATAGATCACCAATATAAGAATTTTCTTTCATTCTCCAGTTAATCAAGAGATACACTCACCCATTTGACTAATAATGTTTTTTAGGGTTTGAGTGATGAACTTGTCCTTGTGGATGCTGATGAAGGCAAACTGAAGGGTGAGACAATGGATCTTCAACATGGCAGCCCTTTTATGAAAATGCCAAATATTGTCTCCAGCAAAGGTTAATGTCATAGTTAAATACTATAAATATTCTAATATACATGAACAAATATCCAAGAAAATCATCTTTATTTCTTTTGACCTCTGCAGTTTTTACATATAAGGCTGGTTGCTCCCTACTCTGTGCTCTCATAACATGTTCAGATCCTTAGGTTGTACTTTGCAAGGTTTCCCACAGCACCAGACTGAGTTCCTTGTGAGCAGCAGTAATAGCAGTTACTATGACAGCTGCAATGAACTGACTGCCTATTGTGTGTGAGACATTGACCTAAGCACAACTCTATTGAAGAGATGATGTACCTCTGAACTAAGGTTAATTAAAAGTGATAGGACTGGGCGTGGTGGCTCACGCCTGTAATACCAGCACTTTGGGAGGCCAAGGAGGGCGGATCACCTGAGGTTGGGAGTTTGAGACCAGCCTGACCAACATAGAGAAACCCTGTCTCTATTAAAAATACAAAAATTAGCCGGGCATGGTGGTGCATGCCTGTAACCCCAGCTACTCGTGAGGCTGAGGCAGGAGAATCGCTTGAACCCGGGAGGCAGAGGTTGTCGTGAGCCAAGATCACGCCATTGCACTCTAGCCTGGGCAACAAGAGTGAAACTCTGTCTCAAAAAAAAAAAAAGTGATGGAGTAGGGATTTGAACTCAGTTCTGTTTGAGTCCAAAGCCTAAGCTCTTCACTACTGTACTTTATTCACTTGGCACCTGGGAGATAATTATTTGAACAAATGAATGAACCAACAATTCCCTATTCAAAGGTCTGTTCACACCACATCTATCTCTCAGTATTCTTGCCAGACTAATCCATATTTTGACCTCTTCGTCTAAATAATACAAAAGGTATTTTAGGAGATGAGGTGTTTTTTTGAGACAGTGTCTTGCTATGTTGGTCCAGGCTGGACTTGGACTTCTGGGCTCAAGTGATCCTCTTGGTCTCAAGTGATCCTCTTGGTCTCAGCCTCCAAGTAACTGGGACTACAGGTGCACTACTGCACCCAACTTAGGAGGTTTTTGTTTTTGGAAATGGAGTCTTGCTCTGTCACCCAGGTTGGAGTGCTGTGGTGTGATCTTGGCTCATTGTGACCTCTGCCTCAGTCTCTCTTGTAGCTGGGACTACAGGCACCCACCACTGTGCCTGGCTAATTTTTGTATTTTTAGTAGAGATGGGGTTTTGCCACATTGGCCAGTCTGGTCTTGAACTCCTAACTTCAAGTGATTGACCCACCTCGGCCTCCCAAAGTGCTGGGATTACAGGCGTGAGCCACTGCGCATGACTTAGGTTTTTTTTTTTTTGTTTTTATTTTTAATTAAAAAAACATGTACAAGGGAAACTTAGTGCTAATTTCCTGAAATTAAAAAGTAGTCTGGGCATACTAGAAGATTTAAGGGAACCTGCTCTTTGGTAAACATAGTGTGGTGATTGAAGTGAACAGGAAGTATACTTAAATGCCAGATGTTTTCTTTCATAATCGATTGTTCTAATCTTTCCCCAGATTACTTGGTCACTGCAAACTCCAATCTAGTGATTATCACAGCAGGTGCACGCCAGAAAAAAGGAGAAACACGCCTTGATTTAGTCCAGCGAAATGTGTCCATCTTTAAATTAATGATTCCCAATATTACCCAATATAGCCCTCACTGCAAACTGCTTATTGTTACTAATCCAGGTCAGTTTTGTTGTTTTACATTTTTAACTTTTCAATTTGGGAGTACACTGTATAGGTTCATTACATGGGTATACTGCGTGATGATGAGGTTTGGGGTAGGACTGATCCTGCCACCCAGGTAGTGAGCGAAGTACCTAATAGTTTTTCAGCCCTTGCCGTCCTCACTCCCTCCCTGTCTAGTAGTCTCCAGTGTCACTTGTTCCATCTTTATGTCCATGTGCACCCACATATTTAGCTCCCACTTATATGTGAGAACATGTGGTATTTCGTTTTCTGTTGTTGCATTAATTAGCTTAGAATAATGGCCTCCAGCTGCATCCATGTTGCTGCAAAGGACATGATTTTATTTTTTTTATGGCTGCATAGGTCAGCTTTATTTTCACTGTTCAGTGAAGGAGTTTTTGGGGGTGGGTTTAGTAACTTTGAAGATAAAAATAATTTAATGAGTATTAAATCGTAAACTACCAGTATAATTCCAGAATCTCTGTTTTGTTAGTGTAATATGTACTTTGCACAGTTGTAATCAGTGTATATACTATAATGACTTAAAAAAAAATACTAGTGTGAGGCCAGGTGCAGTGGCTCACACCTATATGCCTATAATCCCAACACTTTGGGAGCCCAAGGTGGGTGAAGTGCTTGAATCCAGGAGTTTGAGAACAGCCTGGGCAACATGACAAAACTCCATCTCTACAAAAAAAAATACAAAAATTATCAGGGCATGGTGGAGCATGCCTGTAGTCCCAGTTACTTGGGAGGCTGAGGCGGGAGGATTGCTTCAGCCAGGGAGGTCAAGGCTGCAGTGAGCCATGATTGCGCCACTGTACTCCAGCCTGGGTGACAGAGTGAGACCCTGTCTCCAAAAAAAAAAAAAAAAAAAAAAAAAATAGTGGTGTATATGGGAAGATCATATGCTTAATCATATGAGTTCAAGATTTATATTCTAAAGGCTGAGGTTTGCTTTCCACATTACTGTTTGAGAAGTGAAAGCAGGGCTATAGTTCCTGCCTGACTCTCCAGAATTGTACTAGACTCCTCACTGGTGCATGTACAAGGTGGACAAACGCAAAATAGACTTTGGAGATAACATGTGCAGGACTGCTGATAGATTGTGTGTAGTGAGGGAAAGGGAGGAATAAAAAATAACTTCTAGATTTTTCCTTTGAGTAACTGAACGAATGGTAGTTTCATTTAACTGGGTTGGTAAATTTACCAATCGGGTGGGAGTCAGTGAGGGAAGGAGGTGGGGATGTTAAATATAGAGGAGAAAAATCAAGATACCTGAAATGATCAGAGGAAATGTCAAACAGCTAGAGATTATGAGTCTGGAGCTTAGTAGTTTAGGGATATTCAAATTACTGTATTCTAAAATCATTTGGAATAGTTTTTCTCTGTGTGACCAAAACTGAGTTGAGTGCCTGATTAAGTTTATTCATTTTAATTTCGATGCTGAAGAACTATTTAACTTTTGTTTCACAGTTTTATAAAATATTCACATGGCTCCAACATCAATTCTAGAGAACAGGAATTATTCAAAGTCTCCAGCTTCTGTCCCTGTGCCCTTTCCCCTATAGCCTCCATCCCTTTATAGGTAACCATTTACATTTTTTATGGTTTACAGCTTTTTGTTACTACATATGTTTTTCTCCATCTTCTTTCATTTTTAACTTAATATATCATGAAGCTCACTCCATAGTAGTATTTATAAATATGTTGATTACTGTAGCTTTGTGGTAAGTTTTGAAATCAGGATGTGTTAAGTCCTCTGACTGTTCTTTAAGATTATTTTGGGCCAGGCATGCTGGCTCACACCTGTAATCCCAGCACTTTGGTTATGGGTTTTTTTTTTTTTTTTCTTAAGACGGAGTCTTGCTTTGTTGCCAGGCGGGAGTGCGGTGGCACCATCCCCGCTCACCACAACCTCCATCTCGTGGGTTCAAGCGATCCTCGTGCCTCAGCCCCCAGAGTAGCTGGGATAACAGGCACACACTACTACTGCCCGGCTAATTTTTGTATTTTTTGTAGAGATGGGGTTTCATCATGTTGGCCAGGCTGGTCTCGAACTCCTGACCTCAGGTGATCCACCCGCCTCAGCCTCTCAAAGTGCTGGGATTACAGGCGTGAGCCACCGCGCTCGGCCATATCCCAGCACTTTGGGAGCTGAGCCGGGTGGATCACCTGAGGTCAGGAGTTCGAGACCAGCCTGGTCAACATGGCAAAATCCCATCTTTACAAAAAATACAAAAATTAGCTGGGCATGGTGGTGCACACCTGTAATCCTAGCTACTCTGGAGGCTGAGGCAAGAGAATCACTTGAACCCAGGAGGCGGAGGCTGCAGTGAGCTGAGATCACGCCACTGCACCCCAGCCTGGGCAACAAGGCAAGACTCTCTCTCTCTCTCTCTCTCTCTCTCTCTCTCTCTATATATATATATATATATATATTTTTTTTTTTTTTTTTTTTTTTTGCTTGTCTAGATCCTTAGCATTTCCTTATGAATTTATGAATCAGCTGGTCAATTTCTAAAGTAAAACCAACAAGGATTTTGATAGGGATTGCTGCTGATTTATTTTGGTTCTTTTGTATTTAATAAGTTGTTTTTCTCTTGCTGTTTCCAATATTTTCTCTTTGGCTTTTAACAGTTTGACTATGATGTGTCGAAGTGTGAAAGTCTTTCAGTTTATACCACTTGGAATTCATTGAGCAGCTTGGATGTATAGGTTTTTCTTTTTTCTTCTTCTTGCTTTGAGACAGAGTCTTGCTCTGTGGCCCGGACTGGAGTGCAATGGCGTGATCTCAGCTCACTGCAACCTCTGCCTCCTGGATTCAAGTGATTCTCGTGCCTCAGCCTCCTGAGTAGCTGGGATTATGGGCACTCACCACCACTCCTGGCTAATTTTTTGTATTTTTAGTAGAGATGGGGTTTCTCCATGTTGGCCAGGCTGGTCTCGAACTCCTGACCCGAACTGATCTGCCCACCTCAGCCTCCCAAAGTGCTGGGATTACAGGCATGAGCCACTGCACCTGGTTTGGATGTGTAATGTTTTTCTATTTGGGAAGTTTCAGCTGTTATTTCTTTGAATAATTTTCTGCTCCTCTCCCCTCCTTCTGGTGCTACCATACATGCATATATATGTTGGTGTGCTTAACGGTGTCCCACAAGTTTGAGGCTCTGTTTTTTCTTTTTTAAAATAGTTAATAGATTATCAAAAGTTCTTTTTGTATGGCATTGAGATATTTATTTATATATTTAACTGCATGCATATCTTTGGCTTTCACATAAATTTTCCTTCATACAGGCTATTGGTATAAGCATTTGCTCTTTTTAAGAGTTTGATTCTTAAAAAAAAATACCAAATCCAAAATTCAGAAATGGTAGTCTGGCGCTACATGGAAGCACACTGAAAATAACAAGCTGATGATACATTATCACATTGTATAATAGTATTTTATATTTTCTTACTTTCCAGTAAGTGTTTTCACATCCTGAAATCTCACAGTGTCATTTTTGAAATGAGAGCTGTGGAGAGATTCTGATAGGACTCAAGAGTTGTGAAGGCACCTGATGGAGCTCCTTCATAATTTCTCTAACCATTCAGGGCGCTGACGTCTGTAGGGACAGTAAGTTAACACAAACAGTAAATGTGAAATGAATCCCCAACCTACTTTGTTTTAATTTGCACTAAAAAGCCTCCACCCTGAAAGTCCCACGTCATTAAGGTTATATGATAACAAATGAGGAAACACAAACTAAGCATCACTTGCTTGGCGACATTAACTGGCCCACCACACTCCCACCGCAGATTTTAGAAGCACATTTGCAAAAGATGCTTCTCTGTGCATTATGGCAGAAGTCTATTAAAGAATATTTAATTTATTGACTAATATTTCTATTTTTTTTTTTTTTTTTTGGAGACGGAGTCTCGCTCTGTCGCCCAGGCTGGAGTGCTGTGGCCGGATCTCAGCTCACTGCAAGCTCCGCCTCCTGGGTTTTTTACGCTATTCTCCTGCCTCAGCCTCCCGAGTAGCTAGGACTACAGGCGACCGCCACCTCGCCCGGCTAATTTTTTGTATTTTTTAGTAGAGACGGGGTTTCACCGTGTTAGCCAGGATGGTCTCGATCTCCTGACCTCGTGATCCGCCCGTCTCGGCCTCCCAAAGTGCTGGGATTACAGGCTTGAGCCACTGCGCCCGGCCTGACTAATATTTCTAATAAGCACATTCAGAGGATACTTTTTCTGCATTTTATATACTGGCTGTCTGCCATTAAGAGCAGTAAAAATGAGGAAAAAAAAATCTCAATCTCAAATGATTTAACAGCTTAGTTCTGTATTTGCTTGATAGTGTATGCAGTTATAGTACAATAGTACACACTATCAAATATATCTTCTATATCTATTTAGAAAACTTTTTCTGATGTTAGAATCATGTTGAAGAAAGTCTTCTCCATTATTTTAGTGAGTTTGTTAAAATGGTTCACTAAGAACTATCTTCAAAATTTCAGGTGCTTCAAAAGTTAAACAACTTCATTACTCTTATTAAAAAAAAAACAAAAAACAAAAAACTGACAACCTTTTTTTTTGTTTTGTTTTTGAGACGGAGTCTCTCTGTCGCCCAGGCTGGAGTGCAGTGGCTGGATCTCAGCTCACTGCAAGCTCCGCCTACTGGGTTCACGCCATTCTCCTGCCTCAGCCTCCCAAGTAGCTGGGACTACAGGCGCCCGCCACCTCGCCCGGCTAGTTTTTTGTATTTTTTAGTAGAGACGGGGTTTCACCGTGTTAGCCAGGATGGTCTCGATCTCCTGACCTCGTGATCCGCCCATCTCGGCCTCCCAAAGTGCTGGGATTACAGGCTTGAGCCATCGCGCCCGGCCTAAAACTGACAACTTTAAATTAGCATTATTAAGCTACCAAAAATTGATACCACTCAGGAAAGATTTTTTTTCCCCCTGAATAATACTAATTTTTTTTGAGATAGAGTCTCTCTCTGTCGCCCAGGC